GATACACAGAAAACTATAAACCATTGATGAAGGAAATTAAAGAAGACTTAAGAAAAAAGAAAGATATCCCATGCTCTTGGATTGGAAGAATCAATATTGTTAAAATGGTCACACTGCCCAAGGCAATCTACAGATTTAATGCAATCCTTATCAAATTACCCAGGACATATTTCACAGAACTAGAACAAATCATAATAAAATTTATATGGAACCATCAAAGACCTAGAATTGCCAAAGCATTACTGAAGAGAAAGAAAGAGGCTGGAGGAATAACTCTCCCAGACTTCAGACAACACTAGAGAGCTACAGTCATCAAGACAGCATGGTATTGGTACCAAAACAGACATATAGACCAATGGAACAGAATAGAGAGCCCAGAAATGAACCCACAAACTTTTGGTCAACTAATCTTCAACAAAGAAGGCAAGAATATGCAATGGAATAAAGACAGTCTCTTCAGCAAATGGTGTTGGGAAAACTGGACAGCAGCATGTAAAATAATGAAGCTAGAACACTCCCTTACACCATATACAAAAATCAACTCAAAATGGATCAAAGACTTAAACATAAGACAAGATACAATAAAACTCCTAGAGGAAAACACAGACAAAATATTATCTGACATACATTTCAAAAATTTTCTCCTAGTAGAAATAAAAGCAAGAATAAACAAATGGAACCTAATAAAACTTACAAGCTTCTGCATAGCAAAGGAAACCATAAGTAAAACAAGAAGACAACCTATGGAATGAGAGAAAATTTTTGCAAATGAAACCAACAAAGGCTTGATCTCCAGAATATATAAGCAGCTCATACAACTCAATAAGAAAAAAATAAACAACCCAATCCAAAAATGGGCAGAAGACCTAAACAAGCAATTCTCTAAGGAAGACACACAAATGATCAAAAGGCACATGAAAAAATGCTCAATATCTCTAATTATCAGAGAAATGCAAATCAAAACTACAATGAGGTATCACCTCACACCAGTCAGAATGGCTATCATTCAAAAATCCACAAATGACAAATGCTGGAGAGGCTGTGGAGAAAGGGGAACTCTCCTACACTGCTGGTGGGAATGCAGTTTGGTGCAGCCACTATGGAAAACAATGTGGAGATTCCTCAAAAGACTAGGAATAGACTTACAATATGACCCAGGAATCCCACTCCTGGGCTTGTATCCAGAAGGAACCCTACTTCAGGATGACACCTGCACCCCAATGTTCATAGCAGCACTATTTACAATAGCCAAAACATGGAAACAGCCTAAATGTCCATCAACAGGTGACCGGATAAAGAAGTGGTATGTTTATACAATGGAATACTACTCAGCCATAAAAACCGACAACATAATGCCATTTGCAGCAACATGGATGCTCCTAGAGAATGTCATTCTAAGTGAAGTAAGCCAGAAAGAGAGAAAAATACCATATGAGATCGCTTATATGTGGAATCTAAACAAACAAAAACAAAAACAAACATACAAACAAACAAAAACAAAGCGTAAATACAGGACAGAAGTAGACTCATAGAGAATACAGACTTGTGGTTGCCAGGGTGGCGGAGGGTGGGAAGGGATAGACTGGGATTTCAAAATTGTAGAATAGATAAACAAGATTAGACTGTATAGCACAGGGAAATATACACAAAATGTTATGGTAGCTCACAGAGAAAAAATGTGACAATGAGTGTGTATATGTCCATGTATGACTGAAAAATTGTGCTGAACACTGGAATTTGACACAACATTGTAAAATGATTATAAATCAATAAAAAATGTTAAAAAAAAGAGGTGAAAGTACTAAATCAGTTAGATGCTTTGTGGACTGAGTTATTTTTATCTTGAGTGGCTGCTTTGAATTTTTCCCAGTTAAATTGTTTTCTCCCATGTTCTATAAGATGCTCTATAGGGCAGATCTCTGGCGTATGAATTGTTCTCTGCTTCTTGTGTTAAATGGATCCCAACCTATTTGAGAAAACTATTGGCACTACCCTTGCAAGGCAAAGTAACTCTCAATATGAGAGCCTCAATTTTGACGAGTAAATGATTCTTTTCCTCTCTACTCATTTGACTCTTTGATGACATAGTTTTTCCCCTTAAGCAGAAATCTTGAATATTTGTAGGAAGAGTTCTTGTTACAAAGGTGTGATCTAAAACTCATTGTCATTCAATACTCACTAACATCTCAGGTAAGAGAAAAAACTGTGTATCGTGAACTAAAAGACTGCCCATCTATCTCTCCAAAGAGTGGATACTAAATAGGTTTATCTCACATGCTAACTCCAATTCATTCCATTTGTAGTGACTGCCTGGATCACTATGTCCTGACTTAGTGATGCTGCCATGTACACAGAAATGTGTAAATGGATGTCACTGTTTCCAAACTCCAATGTTTGAAAAAAAGTAACCTTTTAACCTACTATATAGCTCAGGGGACTGTATTCAATATCTTGTAATAACCTACAATGGGAAAGAATCTGAAAAAGTATATATATATATATATATTATATATATATTATTTATATATATATTATTATTATATATATATATATTATTATATATATATATATTATTTATATCTGAATCACTTTGCTCTATACCTGAAACTAACACAACATTGCAAATCAGCTAAACTTCAGTTAAAAGGTAATCTTTTTATTTTCCCTGAAACTGCATTTAATTTCTATTTGGGGCCCCTGTTGATGGCAGAAATTTAATAATTTTATAAAAACTCAGTAAAGTCAAAGTTTGCCTCCTCCTCTTTTTCCTTAGTCTGACAAAAACATTTCATGCAAAGGTAGAGAGACACAGGGTTAGTGTGGCCCGTTGTCAATGAAATGTTCACCAGTCCATTGGTCCCCAGTCTTTGGTATCATTCCATAACACCTGCTGAGACATCATGTTTCCAGCTGCCCTTAGGTCCTGAGGTCCACCCCCGTATGCACTGCTGTTTTTCCTCTCCCCACAACCACAAGGCCCATTCTAGTTTGGAGAATTTCTCTTTCTCAGCCTCTTCAGTGTTTTGAGGGCATCGATGTTTGAACAGATGTTTGTTGTAAAAGTTAAACAGGTTGCCCAATATGTGATGTCCTTGGACTTTATGCTCTGTCTCTACTCATTAACTAGACAGGAGTTCATTTTACCTTTCTGGAAGGTACTTTGGAGATGCGTAAGAAAAAAAATCTTTAAACAGTAGTTGATGTTTGACCTAGAAATTCTCCTAGAATTTATAATAATGGGCATATTTTCAGAGATGTATGAAAAAAAGTTCATTGAAGAATAAGCTATTAAACTTAAAAATTAGAGAACACTGAAATGACTAGCAATAAGAGATAGTAAAATTGAATTAGAGTCCTTCCCTTTAATGGATATTACAGTCATTAAAAATGATTACATAATGCTGACAAATTTTGCTGTACACCAGAAATTGACACTACATTGTAAACTGACTATAACTCAATAAAAAATAAAAGATTATGTAGATTTGTGTTTATTAACGTAGAAATATGCTCATTGCTTTGTGTAAATGTAGGGAGAATAGACGTTAAACTAATGTGTATTAGTTAACTTCATTGTTTAAAAATTGTATGTGTGTATGTAAATAAATGAAATAGAATGGAAAGATATAACACTAAATTCTACAAATGTGATAGTGGATGATTTTTAATTCATTCAATTTATCCATGTTTTAAAATATATTCATATAATATTCTCATGGTTTGATCCAAAAATCTATTTCCATTTGGAGTAATAAAATAGGATCTGAAGACTGAAACATATGCCCCATCAGACACTTACCCTGATTTCACAGAAACACCTTGTGTTTCCTGATCAAACACAAGGCACTTCTTAATAAGCCAACCCTCTCATTTTGTTGGGATATTCCAGGTTTATGGGACCGTCTTCCACATGAACCAGGGAAATCCATTCAACCTAAAGGCCCTGGTGGACAAGTGGCCTGATTTTAATACAGTGGTTATCCGCCCTCAGGAGCAGGTAAGGTACCAGGTGAATGAATGTGTAGAGTGAATGTGCATCTGTGTTGATATTTGCTACTTGCCTACCATGCACCTGGCAATGTGGTAGACCCTAGGGGTGATAAAATGAATCTCAGTGATGGTGGACAAGCCCTTGTCTTCAAGAACTTCACAGCCTCAAGAGAAATCAGATGAGCAAATCAATTACAACATGGTTTGTAGATGTACAAAAACATACAAGATACAGAAGTAGCATTGGTCAAGAGATGATTAAAACTACAGATGTCAGGGGGTGCAGGGATGGATCCAAGAGCCTTCATATCAGATATTTCACCAACACTGAATTTTGAAGATGAATAGGTTTTTGACAGGTTAACAAGAACAGAATGTGCATCACTTAGAATGACATTCTCCAGGAGCATCCATGTTGCTGCAAATGGCATTATGTTGTCGGTTTTTATGGCTGAGTAGTATTCCATTGTATAAATATACCACTTCTTCTTTATCCAGTCACCTGTTGATGGACATTTAGTCTGCTTCCAAGTTTTGGCTATTGTAAATAGTGCTGCTATGAACATTGGGGTGCAGGTGTCATCCTGAAGTAGGGTTCCTTCTGGATACAAGCCCAGGAGTGGGATTCCTGGGTCATATTGTAAGTCTATTCCTAGTCTTTTGAGGAATCTCCACATTGTTTTCCATAGTGGCTGCACCAAAATGCATTCCCGCCAGCAGTGTAGGAGAGTTCCCCTTTCTCCACAGCCTCTCCAGCATTTGTCATTTGTGGATTTTTGAATGATAGCCATTCTGACTGGTGTGAGGTGATACCTCATTGTAGTTTTGATTTGCATTTCTCTGATAATTAGTGATATTGAGCATTTTTCATGTGCTTTTTGATCAGTTCTATGTCTTCCTTGCCAGAAAGAGAAAGAAAAATACCATATGAGATCACTCATGTGGAATCTAAAAAACAAAAACAAAAACAAACAGACAAAAACAAAGCGTAAATACAGGACGGAAATAGACTCACAGACAGAGAATACAGACTTGTGGTTACCAGGGGGGTGGCGGGTGGGAAGGGATAGACTGGGATTTCAAAATTGTAGAATAGATAAACAAGATTACACTGTATAGCACAGGGAAATACACACAAAATGTTATGATAACTCACAGAGAAAAAAATGTGACAATGAGTGTGTATACGTCCATGAATGACTGAAACATTGTGCTGAACACTGGAATTTGACACAACATTGTAAAATGATTATAAATCAGTAAAAAATGTTTAAAAAAAGAACAGAATGTGCATTCCAAGCAGAGAAAATGACACCTAAAATATGTAAAGGTAACTACGAATAATGTTAGTGAAATATAAAGCAAAAATTACAATGCTTATATTTGGGAATGTATATTCAGCACCAAATTTTTTAAAAACACTCAAACTAAGTGGCTAATACATTTCAAATATAAATGTGTTGTAAGCATTGAAAAATATGAAGTAAAAGTTCTTGCATGCAAAAATAGGTAACTGTATAGTATCATTTTGACATAAATTATTTACATGTAAAATTTAAAAGCATGTTTGGTAGATTGGAAATTGTAATGCAACATACAAATACCTAGTTCAGCAAGTTTTTCTTACTCACCAGTGGAATAATTCATTAAATCCCTGACTTCGTCTCGTGATGTAAGTGATTCAGAAATGATGATAGTACATCAAGAAAAATATCAATGTTTAAGGTTGTAAAATGGCATTGTGTAATAAGAAGCACAAACGTTCCAATCACTGGGTGTAATTAATTTGATTTATTCACATTACCCAACCCAAAAGGAGATGACAGATGACTTTGACCACTACACCAACACTTACCAAGTCTATACTAAGGATCTCAAGAACTGTCAAGAATCCCTTAGCACATCAGATGTCATCAACTGGAAACAACACTTGCAGATCCAAAGTACGTATGGGATCTGGGATCTGTGTTGGCTGTTGGGGCTGCTCATGTCTACATCTGTAGGGTCACTTTTTATCCTCAGTACATTCCCCTTCAACCTTTATTTCCTTTTACCAAACCCCAGACACTCAGCTTGATGTTCATTTCTTGCATCAGCTGCCACCACCTCTTTGGTGGAGTTGAATTCAAACATTGCAAACCATGGGGTTCTTACATGAAACTGTGAGTAATGTATGTTCTTGTTAGCTGAGGATTCATGCTATATTTTGCAGACATATTCAGGATCCCTTAAGGGGATTTGGTGTGAGAGCAGAGCTCCCCTTCTGGTCTTCCATTCCTAGAATTAGAATGACAGTTCCTTGTACCACAGAGCACCTCCCTGGTCACAAGAACAGCTGTCGCTTGAATCAGATTCTTTAGGGTGGCATCTGTGCTCTGCCTGGTACTTGTTTTGTGATCTTGAGCAAGTAATGTGACTTATCTAGTATTCAGTTCCCTCACATATAAAAAATGAAGATAATAAAAGTACCTAAAACATAGGGTCAATGTAAGGATTAAATGTGATATTAGACAAACACCCGGGCACGTGATATGTGCGCATGCCAGGTTGGCTACTATTTTTTAAAATGCTTCTTCTCCTTTAATTTCACAGTGATATTGTCAGGATTTCCAGTTATATCTGCACTGCAAAGGAGAAAACATGCTCAGGGAGTGACGTGGCCATTGTCACATGGTCATTGGCAGCACCAGAAGCAGCACTGCCTGCCTTTAACTCCTGCATGCACTTCTGTTGGGAAGCTTCTTGTAGCATACAAATGGGCAATTACTTCTCTCCTAACTTTACCTCTATAGGTTCACAGTCCAGCCTGGATGAGGTGATACGGAATCTTGCAATCACTAAATTCGTTAAGGTCAAGCAAACACAGTGCATTCTCTATATGATGCCTGTATCGGTAAGGAAATTGCTTCCTTCCTTACCGGAGACAAAGAACTTACATCTTAGATCCAGCAGCCCCAAGGCCATGTGAGTTTGAAAAAAGATGCTCTGCACTACCCACATCTTTCACCAATGAAGTAGCCTCCCAAATTGTCTCCCTACATTCACCCTTGCCTCTCTACTATCCATTTCTACGGTGATGCCTTTGGTATGCAATGTGGATTATGCCAATTCACCTGCTGAAAAGCCAACCAGATATTATTCCCATTTTCCTGACAGAACACAAGCTCAGATGATGAAATGACTTGTTGGTCACATGGATGGTTGAGGGCATAATGAACTTGAGTCTAGATCTCCCAGTTTCACATCATGGGCTCTTTCCAGGACACCTTCAGAAGAACCTTCATGGCCTGCAGTAGCCTTCACACTTCAGTGTTTAACTTGGGGGCTGCCTGCACTCCCCACTATTGCCCCTGTCTGGACTTTAGCTTTCCACTGTGGCCAAGAAGTCTCTGACACCAACATTCTAAGATTCCATGATTCTAAGTTCTGGCTTTACATACAGCTTGCTAGCATGTGCTTTTGGGCACTCTATTTTCTGTTGACTTATTTTTCTTATCTGTAAAATGGGGATAATATCAACCCTCCATATTAACTGGAGAGTCACTGCATTGCTGAGAAGAACAATACTTAATTTTTATGTATGTCTTATTGTTTGTGGTACAAGTCCTATGTACTTATGATGCAATCACTCTTATAATATTCATATCTGTTTTTGAGGAAGGTACGATCAATAGCCTCACTCTATAAAGAAGAAATGAAGGCAGAGAGACATTATGTTGCCTGCTCCAGATCACACAGCTAGCTAGATTGTGAATCCAGGCAGACTGGCTGCAGAAGCTATACTTTTGTCTGTGTTCTCATTTGCATTGGTAATTGTCTGAAGACAATTTGGGGGCAAACAAATGTAATACTCCACAATGTGTGATTTATGGGCTGTTCTTTTCCCTTCTGCTCAATAGTAATCAAGAGATGTTTAAACTCTCATCCTTGGATCCTACCCACGCTGCCTTAGTGAATAAATTCTGGTCTTTCGGTGGCAATGAGAGGAGCCAGAGATTCATCGAGCGCTGTATCCGGACCTTCCCCAGCGTCTGCCTTCTGGGACCTGAGGGGACCCCTGTGACCTGGTCCCTGGTGGACCAGACAGGAGAGATTCGGATGGGGGCCACCTTGCCTGAGTACCGGGGCCAGGGTCTGATCTCCCATATGCTGTTTGTCCATACCCAGGCTCTGGACAAACTTGGCTTCCCTGTGTATAACCATACAGACAAAGCCAATAAAATCGTACAGAAAATTAGTCACAATCTACATAATACCCCCATGCCCTGTGACTGGAACCAGTGGAATTGTGTGCCTCTGTGAAGTAGCCCTGAACCCAAGACAGTTTTGTGTGGGCTGGTCACATGGCAAGAGATGCAGAGGGACAGAAAGAACGAATAAATTGTAATCAGTAGTAAATCAGTGTGTGTTGTTTGGGCTCTGGGGAAGCACTGTGAATGTCAACAAAACCACTGGAATCCCTTTTCACAAACCCCTCATGAACTTCCCTGTGGGTCCAGCAGACCTGGCATGGGCAGACCTATTTCCTGCGTATTCCAACCCTGGAAGCCACCATTCTACTCTGTTTCTATGAGTTCAACCTTTTTTTTTTTTAAGATTCCACACTTGAGGGATATCATGCAGTATTTCTGTTTCTCTGTCTGGTTTATTTTACTGGCTCACAATTTTCCTTTAATGCACATGACTGCTAAGGAAAGTATCCATAATCAATAAAGAATAAATGCAACCCACTATTCTAGTAGCGCCATTACTCTTCTTTCCAGCACCATCATATTTACTTCTGTTTAGAGTGTGTTCATGGGACGCAGAGAGAATTTAAGTAGCTTTTCATATCACATGAGTAGGCAATTTAACCTCCTGATACCCAGAACTGATACACGTACAAAAAGAAAATTATTTAACAATAGCTGTTAAAATTTATATGGCAAAGATAGTTTAAATTTAAGGCATGAGTATCATTATTTTAGATATCTTATATAAGTAGTAGTATTATGCACTATTTGTCCTTCTGTGGCTAGCTTGTTTTACTTTGCCTAATGTCCTCAAGTTTCATCCATGTTGTCATATATTGCAGGATTTCCTTCTTTCTTAAGGCTGAATAATATCCTATCGTATATATATACCACATTTTCTTTTTTTTAATTGAGTTATAGTCAGTTTACAATGTTGTGTCCATTTCTGGTGTACATGCACAGTTTTTCATTCATACATGAATATATATATACTTGTTTTCATATTCTTTTTCACCATGAACTACTACAAGATCTTAACTATATTTCCCTGTGCAATACAGTATAAACTTGTTTATCTATTCTACATATACCTGTCAGTATCTACAAATCTCAAACTCCCAGTCCGTCCCTACCCACCTCCCACAAGTTTGTATTCTATGTCTCGAGTCTGTTTCTGTTTTATATTTAAGTTCATTAGTCTTCTGTTTTTTTTTTCCCAGATTCCACATATGAATGACAGCATATGGTATTTTCCTTTCTCTTTCCGGCTAACTTCACTTAGAAAGACATTCTCCAGGGACATCCATGTTGCTGCAAATGGCATTATGTTGTCATTTTTATGGCTGAATAGTATTCCGTTGTATAAATATACCACAGCTTCTTTATCCAGTCATCTGTCTATGGACATTTAGGTTGTTTCCATGTCTTGGCTATTGTAAATATTGCTGCTATGAACATTGGAGTGCAGGTGTCTTTTTGAATTAGGGTTCCTTCTGGATATATGCCCAGGAGTGAGATTATACCACATTTTCTTTATCCATTGATCTGTCCATGGACATTTAGTTGCTTCCACATCTTGGCTATTGTAAATAGTTCTGCAGTGAACATGGGAGTGCAGATAGTTATCGAGATCCTAATGTCAAATCCTTTGTCTACATACCCAGAAGTGGAATTGCTGGATCATGTGGTAGGTCCAGTTTTAATTTTTTGAGAAACTGTTATACTGTTTTTCATAGCGTCTGCACCATTTTCCATTCCTACCAACAGTGCACAAGTGGTCAAATTTGTCTACATCCTTGCCAACACTTTTTAGTTTTTGTTTTTGGGAAAAGCTGGGATTTGAGGGGTTTTGCCTTGCTCA